CCTAACGCTAGAACTCCTGGTTGTCCAACGAAGCTGAATTTTGGGAGATTTGGGACAGGTAAAATGGAAGCACTTCTTTGTGCAGCAGTACAGAGTTAAACTAAAGAACTCGGCAGTGATGGCCACCAATTTGGAGGTGTTTTTTTTTTAAAGATTAGGCAAATTTTGGAGGAGCATGAGGTCATGGCATGCTCCTTGGGAGAAAGGCGATGGCAAACCTAGACAACATCTTAAAAAGCAGAGACATCACCTTGCCAACAAAGGTCCGTATAGTAAAAGCCATGGTCTTCCCAGTAGTGATGTATGGAAGTGAGAGCTGGACCATAAAGAAGGCTGATCGCCGAAGAATTGATGCTTTTGAATTATGGTGCTGGAGGAGACTCTTGAGAGTCCCATGGACAGCAAGAAGATCAAACCTCTCCATTCTGAAGGAAATCAGCCCTGAGTGCTCACTGGAAGGACAGATCGTGAAGCTGAGGCTCCAATACTTTGGCCACCTCATGAGAAGAGAAGACTCCCTGGAAAAGACCCTGATGTTGGGAAAGATGGAGGACACAAGGAGAAGGGGACGACAGAGGATGAGATGGTTGGATGGTGTTCTTGAAGCTACCAGCATGAGTTTGATCAAACTGCGGGAGGCAGTGGAGGACAGAAGTGCCTGGCGTGCTCTGGTCCATGGGGTCACGAAGAGTCGGACACGACTAAACGACTAAACAACAACAACAACAAAGAGGTCATGGCTGCCAGCAGTGGCAAACCTACATTTTTGGGACCCTGAAGCCTGAACAGTTAAGGCTTCACAACCAGCAAGGAGGCCTCATCTTCTTTAATGGGGTAGTTCCACAACAGATCACCACATACATACATACAATCAGATTTTTACTAAAGATGCTGTACTGGATTATCTCACATGTCAAAGTCACTGGCATAAATAAAAAATTCCAATGCCTTTTTCAACCATGGGCCGGTCTACCATCCCTCAGACCATGTGGGGGGCCAGACTATATTTTGAAAAAAAATATGAACGAATTCCTATGCCCCTCACAAATAACCAAAAGATGTGTTTTAAATAAAAGGACACATTCTACTCATGTAAAAATAATGCTGATTCCCAGACCATCCGCAGGCCGGATTGAGAAGGCGATTGGGCTGGATCCAGCCCCCTGGGCCTTAGGTTGCCTACCCCTGCCTTATAGTTTTTTAGTTATGGGGGGGCAGGGTGTGTGTGAAAATTAGGGGAAATTGGAAATGTTATATGCATGCATTACACACTTTTTCAAGCAAAATTTCAAGCAACGTAGTCTAAAGTGGCTTCTGGGGCCTCTTGAGGATGAAGGGCCCTCAAGATTAAGCGTCAATAGTTTAATAGTAGATGTGCCCCTGGCTACTAGCTACAATGGCTATGTTCTGCCTCCATTGTTGAAGGCAGCAACGCTTCTGAATACCAGGTGCTGGAAAACACAAGGGGGAGAGTGTGGTCTTGTGTTCAAATCCTGATTGCATGTTTCCCACAGGCATTTGACTGGCCGCTGTAAGAACAGGATGCTAGACTAGATGGGCCGTTGGCCTGATCCAGCAGGCTCACCTCATGCCCTTATGTACAAAACAGCAGATGGCTAGAGACAACACATAGGTTTTCTGTCTTTTCTCAATGACCATGAGATCTAGAAGCTTGCCTCTTTTTTCTTTTTTAAGGGATTTTAAGAACTCATACAAAGCTGAGGGTTTTAGAATGTCGAATTCCACTGAGAACACACAAGCTAGTTTTAAGACACCGTCCTCAGTCTAGCGCTCAAGAGGGTCTTGTTTTCAAGGTCGGCAGGAAGAAAGACGGCAATTCGAGATGATGATCAGCGTCTCGACAAAGAGAAAAAGTATTTTCAGAATGAGGCATCTGTGCTGCGAGCCATTAGGGGGCCCCTGACAGATGCAATCTTACCAGCCTCCTGGTGCGGTTGAAAAATACAGGCACAGTCTCTTTCTTCTCTGGGACAAGGATTAATGAGGACTTGGGACGGCTCTTAGACAAGCAAGCAAAGGCTGTGAACCTCTTCCAGCTCTGCAATTTGTCTTGGGCTGACGATTTGCATCGTTTGCATGTTGGATGGGTTTTCACCACCATCACCCGCTCCCCAAGCTGGATTATGCCATGACCCAGCCCATTAATCTCCCCAAATAAAATAATAATAATAATCATTATCATCAGAGGCTTGCGGTAGGGGGAGGGCGACGAGATTCTTGGACGACGGCCAGGGGTAAATTAATATTTCTTCTTAAGTACCCCGGCATCTAGGGACAAACCTTTCCAACCACACCTACTCGCGCAAAACCCATTTAGAATTACTTTGATCCCCTGGCTTGAAATCTCAGCACCGGCTGAAGGATGATAATTGTGTGCGCTTAACACAGAGGTCCCCATCTGTCTCCCGCACAAAAGTGCTTCTGTACAAACTGGGGGGAATAAAGGTGAAATGGGGAGCAAAGGAGGAGAACGGCCACACCATCACCCCCGTTTTCTCATTTCCTAATTCCATTAAGAACATAAGAAGACTCCTGCTGGATCAGACCGGTGGCTCATCTAGCCCAGCTCCCTGTTCTCACAGCAGCCAACCAGGCGCCCCAATGGGAAACCAGCAAGCAGGATTCGAGCACAAAAGCATCTCTCCACTTTCTGTGGTTTCCAGCAACTGGTATTCAGAAGTGTTGGTGCCTCTGACCTCGAAGCTGCCTTACATTGAGCCAGACCCCTTGGTCTATCTAGCCCAGTGCTGTCTACACAGACTGGCAGCAACCGTCCAGGGTTTCAGACGAGATGTTCCCCAGCCCTACCTCAAGATTCCATTGGGGGTGGAACCTGGGACCTGCTGCATGAAAAGCAGGTGTTATACCACCTCACTGCAGAAAGATAGCTGAATTAAGAAGGCTGAATTGAGTAGGTAGCTACCGGGCCAGAGCATTGGTCTGCCTAGCTCATTGTGTTGGAAATTTTATTTACAACATAACATAACCCCCCCACCCCCCAATACAGAAAACCACCCTCATTAAACATGAACATAACATACAATGAGCTTAACATACAAGAATAAGGTAAAGGTAAAGGTACCCCTGCCGGTACGGGCCAGTCTTGCCAGACTCTAGGGTTGTGCACTCATCTCACTCTATAGGCCGGGAGCCAGTGCTGTCCGCAGACACTTCCAGGTCACGTGGCCAGCGTGACAAGCTGCATCTGGCGAGCCAGCGCAGCACACGGAACGCCGTTTACCTTCCCGCTGGTATGCGGTCCCTATTTATCTACTTGCACCCAGGGTGCTTTCCAACTGCTAGGTTGGCAGGCGCTGGGACCGAACGACCCCGCCGCGGGGATTTGAACCACCGACCATGCGATCGGCAAGTCCTAGGCGCTGAGGTTTTACCCACAGCGCCACCCGCGTCCCTGCAACATACAACAATAACAATACAAACAACCAAATAAAAGACTTATCCTGTATCTGGCCTCCTTATTTACTTCTTATAAGCTGTTTCCTTTATGAATAATTATTAAGATTTTTCTAATTATAACTTATGGGACGCGGGTGGCGCTGTGGGTTAAAGCCTCAGCACCTAGGACTTGCCGATCGAAAGGTCGGCGGTTCGAATCCCCGCAACGGGGTGTGCTCCCGTTGCTCGGTCCCAGCGCCTGCCAACCTAGCAGTTCGAAAGCACCCCCGGGTGCAAGTAGATAAATAGGGACCGCTTACTAGCGGGAAGGTAAACGGCGTTCCGTGTGCTGCGCTGGCTCGCCAGATGCAGCTTGTCACGCTGGCCACGTGACCCGGAATCATAGAATCATAGAGTTGGAAGAGACCACAAGGGCCATCGAGTCCAACCCCCTGCCAAGCAGGAAGTGTCTGCGGACAGCGCTGGCCCCCGGCCTATAGAGTGAGATGGGCGCACAACCCTAGAGTCTGTCAAGACTGGCCCGTATGGGCAGGGGTACCTTTACCTTTACCTTAATTATAACTTTAATATCCACAAAGTCTCCTGCAGACATTAAACGAAACAAGTCCAGGTATGTATTTTAGGGCACTGTTTTGCGAAGTGTTCTCTGCATTTTCCCCGTGCTTTTTGAAACTCTTGTCTAGTGTGATCTCTAATTGCCTCTGTTAATCTAGCCAGTTCAATATACTCTAACAGTTTGTCTTGCCATTCCTTTTTTGTTGGCATAGTTTCTTTTTTCCAGTTTTTAGCCATTAGGATCCTTGCCGCTCCTGTGGCATAGAGAAATATGTGTCCTGTGTCTGTTATCCGTAGTGGAAAAGCTTCTGTATTTTTCATAAAGTTATACTTAAACATTTTTTTAAGCTCATTGTGGTCCATATTAAGTAGCAGTGGCTCCCCAAGGTTTCAGGCAGGGGACCACCCAAGCCCTACATAGAGATCAAAGAACTGTAGAGTTGAAAGGGACTCAAGGGTCATCTAGACCAACCCCCTGCAATGCAGGAATCTCAACCTGGTCATCCAGGAGCTCATCTGCACCAGCATTGCTGGTCATTCCCCAATTGATCAGGCTCATTTGACGACGACAACAAGAAACTAAGCCTTAATGTCGACAGCCTAGTCTTGTGGAACACCCTGCCACTAAAGATCTAGAAGGTGCCCTCTGTTTCAACTGCGTGCTGAAACTTTTCCATCCTGTCTGATTTACGGAGGCAATTAACAACACGCCTTTGCATAATAGTTAGACGGCTTCTGAATTTAACTTTTCCGTATGGTTTCTATTGTATGGTTTCATGTACAATTGTTGCAAACCGCTCTGATTATTTGTTTTTTAAATAGCAGAATATAAACGAACCCTTTGGATAATAAACTCTTTGGAACGAAAAGGATGGGAGCCCTAGCCTGATCCACAACACCAGATCCCTCCCCATGCAGAGGCAAAAGACAAAACAAAATCATCTTAAAAATAAGATCTGCATCCCAACAGAGAACAGAACTCTCTCTCTGACTCTCTGTCTCTTTACCTTTGATTTCACGGCAAGTACGATTTTCGGCAACGCGACAACCAGACACTTCAAACCGATGGTGAGGTATTTGAGTACAAAGTCTGTGATCCCCACAATCCACATCAGATCGAAGAAATCCAGCTTCTCCAAGTTGGGTCTCAGGAAGATGAGGCTGAAACGGGCAGGACAGGAAGAGGCGAGTCTTTTATTTATTTATTTGGACACTTTACACACCAATTCACTTAAACAGTCCACTAAGAGGTTTTCAAAGAAACAGCTTCCTAAACCCTGGTTTGAAATTGGCTCGTTTCAAGTAAAGCAGAGTTAAGATTAACTGCAGTTTGCTCGGTTCAGATAACCCAAGAACATCAAAGCTTCTAAATTCTTTCCAGATGTTGTGGAAACAGAAGGGGAAATGGATGAGACTGCTGGGCAGCAGGGTTCCGGGAGGAATCTAGTTTGTTCTCATCATGCTAAAACATGGGTAGGCAAACTAAGGCCTGGGGGCAGGATCCGGCCCAATCACCTTCTCAATCCGGCCGGCGGATGGTCCGGGAATCAGCGTGTTTTTACATGAGTAGAATGTGCCCTTTTATTTAAAATGCATCTCTGGGTTATTTGTGGGACATAGGAATTCGTTCATTTTTTTCCTTCAAAATATAGTCCGGCCCCCCACAAGGTCTGAGGTACAGTGGACCGGCCCCCTGCTGAAAAAGTTTGCTGACCCCTGTGCTAAAACATAGCTTTATCATGACATTCCAGCAAAGTCACTGTAAAAGGCAATAGAAAGCAAAGCAGGAACTAACATATTTATCGCACAATTCTTGAGAAACAAGATTTTTCCAATAGGCAGTAGAAAAATGAAATAACAGCCTGAAATCTACATAGACAGCACACTATAGAAGAGGAAATAAATGCAAAAAGACCTTAGCAATCCTAGATCTATCTATCTATATAGAATAAAACTCTGTTGAACTTGATGGGACTTACTTCTGAGTATACGTGTGTCTGATTGGTGTGGAAGGGGTTGATCAGTAAGGAAAAGAATAGAAAGGGTGGACATGGATGGAAAATTTCATATTTTTCTAGAAGAAGTTGTTGATAATGTCTTGATCACTTACAATTATAGCAACGGCTATTTGTATGAATAATCAGTTATATTTAGATCAGTTTTTAAGCATGCAATACTTTTGTAATACTGTTGTGAATTTGTCATTTTTTAAAAAAAAGGAATCAAGGAACGTTCTTCTCAACAAAGACTGAAATCTTGCCACAGTTTTTTTTAATTAAGTTTTTCTTTGTTTACAAAAGTATGAGCATTGTCTCTTTTCTCGTGTTGTAACGCCTTTTCTATATATCAGCTACATACGATGTGAGACATTAGTGTTGTTTTGAGAGTCTATTGTTCTGCAGAGTGTGGTCTGTGAATGTAGCTAGAGAGGGGAATTCTCCCCATTGCAATCACACAGAAAGAGAGATTTGCAGAGTAAGAAAGTAGCAAAATTGTTTCTTGCAGGAAGAACATAATTTTGATAGAAAATTTTAAAAGTCCAACAGCCTATATCCCACGCTTTACTTTGCTGCGTATTTTGTGGTTTTAAATCTCTGCTGGGCTTCTCACACTAAAGAGTACAGTGGTACCTCGGGTTAAGTACTTAATTCGTTCCGGAGGTCTGTTCTTAACCTGAAACTGTTCTTAACCTGAAGCACCACTTTAGCTAATGGGGCCTCCTGCTGCCGCCGCCACACGATTTCTGTTCTCATCCTGAAGTAAAGTTCTTAACCCGAGGTACTATTTCTGGGTTAGTGGAATCTGCAACCTGAAGCATATGTAACCTGAAGTGTATGTAACCTGAGGTACATACATTTCTTAATTTTGGGCTCAAAAATAGGGGTCGTCTTACACACGGAAAAATACGGTATGTATGTATGTATGTATGTATGTATGTATGTATGTATGTAATGTCTGTAACCTGAAGCGTATGTAACCTGAAGCGTATGTAACCTCAGGTACCACTGTACTTGCTCCAAAGCTGGACCTTGGCACCCAGGGAATTCTCATTTGATACCTTTTTTTCTCCCTTGCCAACACACAGTCTGGAGGTCCTTTGCTCTATCTGCTTTAACCCCAGGCAAACCCCTTTCTGCAAGCAGAGTTGCACCCACACGTCCGACAGCAACTGAACAATCTGAAGCCTCATTCCCATCACATTCCCAGGACGGTTAAGCACTGGCTTTGCTTCCTAATTAGGCAGCGACTGTGGGATATGGTTTCATGCTGGGTGGGAGCATCAAGGGGCTTGTTTGCGAAGTAAATAAATGAATGGATGGGGATAAACAGAAATCAAAATACTCACAATATGGGCACATCACAATGGAAATTAAACCCTAAAAACAAAAAACAATCGAAAATGAGAGACCTACCAAAATGAAAACCCAGCAACACAGAGATGGGAATGAAAGAAATTGATTTTAAAAAAGCAAACAGGCAGACACACACAACTGAATCCACAAATAAATTAGATCGGGGAAACGGAAAGAAAAACAAAAACAAAATAGCAAATCTGAGCAAAGAGAAAGTCAGCCAAAGATCCAGGCTGATGTCTGTGCTTTCTAAGTATATGGGGTGAAGATAACCCCCCCCCCCGATTTCCATTTGATACCAAACATCACTCAGCTTTGCGAAATATACCTGCGGATTCTCATCCAGGGTCCAGAATATCCAGATTAAGAGATGGCCTTATTTTAGATCACAGAGCCCAATGCTATGATTTGCACACTGGAACCCAACTACACCAGCAGCCTCACGCTGCTTTAAACAGCCATCACTTCCCTCCAAAGAATCATGGGAACTGTAGTTTGTTCAGGGTGCTGAGTTGTTAGGAAGACACCCCCCCTCCAAATCTCTTCAGAGAGCTACAATTCCAGAAGTGGTTTAATATTCAGTCCCCTTTCCCAGAGAACTCTGGGAATTATAGCTCTGTGAGGAATATAGCAGTGGTGGGGAGGCGTCTCCTAGCAACTCTCAGCACCCTAAACAAACTTCCTTGGGAAGAAGGATCGGTTGTTAAAGCACTCCTGGAATTGTAGCTCTATGAAGGAAGAATAGGCAAGGGAGAATAACTCTCAGCACCCTGAACAACTATAGTCACTGTGGACAATGCTGAGCTGAGATGCAGGCCTTTTTTGTGGCAGTAATCACACACCTCTTGTTTTGTCGCTCATGGCAGCCATTTTGTGCTGGCACCCACATTTTCATCAATATATGAGCATGGGGACACGTTTTATTTTTTACCAAAAAAGGAAGGAAGGAAGGAAATGAAACACTGGCTAGGTATAAATAAAAAATTATTATTATTATTATTTAGGTGAATCAGTGGTCTGACTCGGCGCAAGGCAGCTTCCAATGTTTCAGACGCTGAAGAACTCCAACTCCCATCAGTGCCAGCTAGCATGGCCAATGGTCACAGATAATGGGAGTTGTAGTCCAGCAGCTCCTGGAGGGATGCAGATTCTCACACCCTTGTTTATCTGGCTGTGAGCTTTCTCCAAATCTCTTCCAGTCACATACAAGCAAAAAATAATAATGTTTCTCCCCCCTTTCATTCAATCCCTCCTTGCTCTTCTGATGAGCGGCTGGCTACCTGTTTTTCTCAAGGGTCCAAGCCGTTTTGCTTACCTGTTGTACAACTGCTGGGAGCTGAAAGTATACAGCAAGTACAGGGTGTTCCCTGTGAGGAAGGCCAGGATCCAGAACACCACCAGCACAGACCGCTTTTCCTGAGGAGAACACCAACAACAACAAAAAGCCCAATGTGTAATTCCAGAGACTCCAAAGATAGTTCTCTGCCACCATGAGGTCTAGCAACTTGCTGTATGAAAAAAAGAACTCCCAAGACTGCTGAACCTACTTATCCCTGTCTCTGCTTTCATTGCCTGTGGTGAATTTTAGACTGTAGATTCCCTGGGGCAGGGATGGGTCGTCTCCAGTTCTAAGGAAGTTCATAATGTAAAACAAAACAAAACCCCACACTTTTTTGTTATGTAATCACAGAAAAATAAGCAGCAAAATTCAGCTGATCTTGACATTGCTTGTTCCCAGTGCCTTTCTATGGAGGATGTTCCTATTGGTTTGAAACCTATCTTAGGAAAGGAACTCCTCTTAGCCCTTGGGCTTCATTATGCCAGGAGTCCAGAGATCTCCCTTCAGACTCTTCCACCCCACTGCCAACCACCAACCACTGTCCAGAGGCATCCATGTTCTGCAACTCACCTTCAGTGACACCTGTTCTCGGAGAGTCGAGTTTGCATATGCGAACGTGCTTGCCATGCCGATGCACAGAGCAATTCCTACAGAGAGAAAGAGAAACATGACTTGTACATCTACCACAGGGGTCACCAACCTAAGGCCCATGGGGCGGAAGCGGCCCGTGGAGGTCGTTTGACCGGCCCACGAAGAAATTGGCTGCAGCAACATTCTGCAGCCAATCGGAAGTTGCACTTTGTTTTCAAACATTTTGGAAGTCGAAAGGACTCCCGGAATGGATTCCATTCTACTTCCAAGGTATGACTGTATTGTTATTATCCTAATACATATGTAGATGTCAATAGCCTCCTTCATTCTGAATGAACTCATTTCAAATGTTGTCATATTTATCCAAACAAAAGGAGTGTCATCCTTCGGTCGGTCCATTGATTACAGTGTATCCTATTTTTATACAGTCGTTCCTTGGAATCTGCTCCGGAAGTCCATTCAACTTCCAAAACGTTTGGAAACCAAGGCACGGCTTCCAATTCGCTGCAGGAGCTTCCTGCAGCCAATCAGAAGCCGGAGAACCTGCATCAGAAGTTTGGGTTCCAAAGAATGTTCGCAAACCGGAACACTCACTTCCAGGCTTGCGGCGTTCGGGAGCCAAAACATTTGCATAGCAAGGTGTTGACGTCCAAGGTACGACTGTATTGTAAGATTACTGTATGATCTTGGAAGGTTGTATAATCACAGAGGTGTGTGTGTGGTTGTGACTGCCATGAAGGGCCCGAACTCCTGGATTTGCTGCTACACTACAGTGGTACCTCTGGTTAAGTACTTAATTTGTTTCGAAGGTCCGTTCTTAACCTGAAACTGTTCTTAACCTGAAGCACCACTTTAGCTAATGGGGCCTCCTGCTGCCGCCGCACGATTTATGTTCTCATCCTGAAGCAAAGTTCTTAACCTGAAGCACTATTTCTGGGTTAGCGGTGTGTGTAACCTGAAGCGTATGTAACCTGAAGCGTATGTAACCCGAGGTACCACTGTACTGGATTCACCAAGTTCTTACATTTGCTCCAAGCATCGAACGAGAGGCCTTACCAAGCTTATGCTGGAAACAGACTTTCGCCAAGAGGATCATGATGAATGGGAGTCCCTTCTGCAACCAGGAGACGACCGCTTTCAGCTCCGAAAGAGCAGGGGCTGGTGTCCCGGGCTGATCCTCAGGCCCCTCCTCGGTGTGTCCGTGGCGGTCGCCGCCGGCCATGTGCAGTAGGGAGGAACCGCGCTGGTGGCTGTGGTGGTAGTGGTGGGGTTGCTGCCGGTGGTGGAAGGACCTCCCTCTGGCCGGCTGGGCCCTCCTCCCACGAGGAAGGCATCTGGATGAACACCTCCCCACCTCCGGCTGAGGACCCCAGGACCAAGCTGGATTGGAAAGGGGTGGCTGCGATGGTGCCTGACGGGATGCCCCCCAGTCCGGAGAAAAGCTGCTGCGGCGAGGGAGCTTCCGTCTTGAGACCTTCGAAAATGCCGCCGTCATCCACGCTCGTCTCGGAGGAGATGGTTTGACACCGGCTTCTGGTATAAACACACAAACATACATCCGAGTAATAATACAGTGGTGCCTTGGTTCTCAAACGCCTTGGTTCTCAAACGCCTTGGTTCCCAAACACCAAAAACCCGAAAGTAGGTGTTCCAATTTTTGAATGTTTTTTGGAAGCTGAACGTCCGATGTGGCTGTCAGCTATTGTTTCTGGGGCGCCTGCACCGATTAGAAGCTGCGCCTTGGTTTTTGAACATTTTGGAAGTCAAATGGACTTCCGGAACAGATTAAGTTTGGTGCTTTTGTTTGGATTAAGTTTGGTGCTTTTGTTTGGATTAAGTTTGGTGCTTTTGCTATATCTTTTGCGTTTTCGTTTTTGAGGCTTTTTCGGTTAATATGTTTTTGTGACTGTGTGGAACCCAGTTCAGCTAATGACTGTTAGTGTGACTGTGGAAATGGATAAAAGCCCCCCATCCAAACAATGACTATCATCAGTGCAGCTAAGAAAAAAAATGAATTTTAATTTTTATCATCTACAATACTTATTTATTTTATAGTACAGTACATTGATTATTGCTTTCATTTTATGGATCAAAGGTCTCATTACATAGTAAAATTCGTGTTAAATTGCTGTTTTAGGGGTTGATTTTAAAAGTCTGGAACGGATTAATCCATTTTGCATTACTTTCTATGGGAAAGCATGCCTTGGTTTTGGAACACTTTGGTTTTGGAACAGACTTCCGGAACGGATTAAGTTTGAGAACCAAGGTACCACTGTATTATTATTAATAATAATAACAGTAATAAGGAAAGAAAGAAAGAATCAGATTAAACTAAAATTTGTTTAATCAGGTGCTAGCTCGAAAGCAAGGAAAAAACCTTTCTCCTTATACACCCGGTAGATCGCTGCAGTCTGTGGGAAAATCTCTCCTGCCAGCTCCAAAGATCTCAGAGGGCCCTTGCTCTGAGGTGACTCCAAGAAGGGATTTTATTTCATTTTAAAAAATAATTTTCATTGGTTTTACAAATACAAAGTACAAATAAACACAAACTAACAAGAACATGAGGGACGCGGGTGGTGCTGTGGGTTAAACCACAGAGCCTAGGACTTGCCAATCAGAAGGTCGGCAGTTCGAATCCCCGCGACGGGGTGAGCTCCCGTTGCTCGGTCCCTGCTCCTGCCCACCTGCCCACCTAGCAGTTTGAAAGCACGTCAAAGTGCAAGTAGATAAATAGGTACCGCTCCGGCGGGAAGGTAAACAGCGTTTCCGTGTGCTGCTCTGGTTCGCCAGAAGCAGCTTAGTCATGCTGGCCACATGACCCAGAAGCTGTACCCCGGCTCCCTTGGCCAATAAAACGAGATGAGCGCCACAACCCCAGAGTCGGTCACTACTGGACCTAATGGTCAGGGGACCCTTTACCTTTTTAACAAGAACATATCTGTGTGAGGAGCTTCTCCGAATCCTGAGACTTCCTTCCATCCCCTCCATGGAGTCTTATTTTAAACATCTACAACTGCATACAGTATTCATCTGCACTCCAATTTTCATATCAAACCATAATGTCCTTAATATTTTTAGCACTACAAGCAGGTCAAACCCTGCTCTTGTTTTTCCATCTGCTTACAGTGGTCTCCTAAATAACTTTAAAAATTTCACCATTCTTTTATAACAACAGCCGCCCGGATGTTATTAGCCCAAAGTTGGAAAGAAGACAAAGTCCCGACCAGAGAAGAATGGCAAACCAAGCAGATGGAATATGCTGAGATGGCAAAGCTGGCTGGAAAACGCAGAAACCAAGAGGACAAAAACTTTATCCAAGAAGGGATTTTAGAGTGTCTATGCCTGCTCTGCAGGGATGCAGGTGGCGCTGTGGGTTAAACCACAGAGCCTAGGGCTTGCCGATCAGAAGGTCGGCGGTTCAAATCCCCGCGACGGGGTGAGCTCCCGTTGCTCGGTCCCTGCTCCTGCCAACCTAGCAGTTCGAAAGCACGTCAAAGTGCAAGTAGATAAATAGGTACCGCTCCAGTGGGAAGGTAATTGGCGTTTCCGTGGGCTGCTCTGGTTCGCCAGAAGCGGCTTAGTCATACTGGCCACATGACCCGGAAGCTGTATTCCGGCTCCCTCGGCCAATTAAGTGAGATGAGCGCCGCAACCCCAGAGTCGGCCACGACTGGACCTAATGGTCAGGGGTGCCTTTACCTTTATCTTTTACCCCTGCTCTGTGAAACAGCATCCCGGTCAAAATACAACAGGTGCCCAGATATATACACCTTCCAGAAAAAAACAGCATTTTTGTTCTGATATGCTTTCCCAGCTGGAGAAATGGGTCTGTACCACTTGTTAGGGTTTCAGTTTTGCTTTTAAATCACAGCATCATAGAAGTATAACGTTGGAAGGGGCCCAAGGGTCATCTAGCCCAACCCGCTGCAACAAAGGAATTGCAGCTAAATGCATTTGTGGGTTTTGTGGGTTTAATTATCTCATGGGTAAATCATCTCGGGACTGTGGTTTAGAGGGGGATTGAGAAAGTAATTGGAAGAAGGAGGTGGAGGAGGAGAAAGATCTTTCAAAACACAACTTGTTAAAAGAAGAAGATGATCAGCAAAAGTCTGAAGCCACAAAGAGACACATGGGAGCTGCGAAATCTCTCCCGGTTGTGGATCCATCCCCTGCGCCCCAACTCCACCAAGTTTAGAAACAATGTGTGCAGCCAGGCAGGCCCCCTATGGAGTTCACCAGCCTCACTGGACCTCTTTATCGACTCCAAGCATCTCCCAAGTCACACAAAGCCACTGCTTCTCAGATATTTTTATAGCTACTCCTCAAAGGCTAGGTTCACACACAAGACACACGGGGAAATAAAACGGTTAGCAAGATATTTGTCATGTGGCTTTATGCCCCCACCTCCAAATTAACAGGGCAACTAATCGGATCTCCCAGGGCTCAGGAATTAAAAAATAAATCACAAACACAGATATCTCCATGCTCTTCCCTAGGAACATGTGAACCACGTACACAGCATCTCAATTGTCTGGTGAGGTCGCAACAGCCCGATCCAATACTATGGGGGTCCTCTAGGGTAACACTCCCATATGAGGCACCCAAGAAAGGCTTGGCAGAAAGACTTCTATCTTTAAGTGGGGGGTGGGAGGAGTTGTGCATTTATGGTTCCTTTTAACCTGACACGGCTGAGTTTGCTTTGTGATATGGATTTTTTTAAAAATTCCCGCAATGGCCACTTCAATAACACCTCTGAAATCTGCCGGCAACCAATCAAAAACAGCACTGAAAATTCTAAAAGAGAATATTTAAACCAACAACCCACAATTAAAAGAAATGCAACAAAACCTCTTGGAGGCTTTTATGATGAAGCGGCGTATACAAAACTCTGTGAAATAATTAACGACAACAGGGAAAGCAACACGGGCACATGCCAAGTCCCGAGTCCAAAAAGGGTTCTGTTTTACCAGTTTGCTCAATGATGGAATTGAGGGGGACAGCGAGGCCTCCACTGGCACCAAGTTCCATAGGTACGGAGCCACCACCGAGAAGGCTCTGCAGCAACTTTCTTCAGGCAGTGCCTTCCATAGAACATAAGGGCTCATATGAAAACAGGATGCAAGGTCTGCAGGCTTAGGCCATAAAGCAGAGAACCTGTAGCCCCCTGGATGTTGTTGGACTTCAGCTCCCATCAGCCCCAGCCATCATGGTCAATGGTCAGGGACGGTGGGAGTCGTAGTTCCCCATTCCTGCTATACATGGTTTGGGTCCATTTGGATACATAAAGTGCCACCTTCTCTTTTATAAACCTATGTGTTGTTCAAGGCAGCACTGAGAGCCAGTGTGGTGTAATGGTTAGAGAGCTCAGCTAACACCTGGGAGACCAGGGTTCAAATCCCCACTCAGCCACAAAGCACATTGGGTGACTCTGGGCCAGAGTCTTTTGTCTCTTAGCCAGTGTTAGAAACTCAGTTACATAAGTTAGACACCAAATGGCTCTGTAAACCAAGGTTACAGTCACCAAAATGGAATGTCCAGTTGCCATCTGGGGGCAAGATGGATCTAAAGTCTTATTTTTCAAAGGATGGACTGACTGTGATTGATTCTCAGTTAAACATGTGGCTAGTTCAGACGACAACCTTGAGCTAAGTTCGGAACTTTGAGAACTTAAAAGAAGAAAACTAACTTGATCCAGGGAAAGTCCCCATATCTATTGGCCGATTCCAACCTCTTTTTCTTAATGGACCATTCATAGCGTTAGAATATTCTTCGCAACTGTGAGCAGGGCAGTGGGGTGAAGACAAGCTACAACAATGATCTATCACGTTGTTCACTACTCCCACTCAAGATACACAGAAAAAACATTTTGGTTCCTGAAATTCTGATTGTGCAGGTAAAATAGAACAGATAGAATTCTACAGGATGGGGTATTAAGTGTGTGAAAACAGGCAAGATCTGATGATCCCCAGGAATGCACCTCCAGATGCTGGAGACTTTAGGCGTCATCTTGGCACCCAAGCATCTTACTTGGTCGCAAATGGCCAATAGCCAGGTGCAAAATGCGCCTGGCACCTGCCTAATTGTGAACAATCCTCTTAGCCTAACCTAGAGTTGCGGTGGGAATAAAATGGAGATCAGGGGAACCACATATGCCACCTTGAGCCACTTCGAAGTGTTTACAAATCCAGTAAAACTGTGGGCTTTCAGATGTTGTTGCGGGACTCCAATTCCCATCAGTCCCAGCCAGCATGGCCAACACTCAAGAATAATGGGAGTCCAACAATATTTGGAAGGGCACAGGTGTCTCCACCTGCATCCCTAGTGAGTGGTTAAGATAGAAGGATGCCGTACATTTAAAACAGAACTAACCTTTCAGGAGGCAGGCTGTCCGTGATGCTGCTGTGCCGTCTCTGCATCTTCCTTAAGACTTTAAAACACAACACACTCAACATTAACGTGGCAGATCAATGATGGCAGCGAGGAAGTAGTGGCAAGGACTGGAGAGACGGCTCCAGCACAGACGGGGCCCCCATTCACTCAGTGGCAGGAAGCGCAAAACTCTTACTGGGAAGGCTGGACAAAGATCATACCACAAGGCAATGGGTGCAGAGCAAATCTCGGAAGCTCCAGGATGAACGCGACAGCAGCGCCCAGGAGAAATAGATCTCTGGAGGGAAGTCAGGTCCTATCCTTCAGGTCAGTAGCTGCATCAAAAGCTGACGACCGCAGCAAGTTTGTGATGCAAGGAAGGGAAGCGGTCCTTGAGGAAAGCGATGGAGAAGTGGTGGCTGGATTGGAGCATCAACTGCGTGGTTCTCCAGATGTTGCAACCCTGGGAGATTTTGCAAAGGAATAAGAAATGAGGCAGGAAAAATTGGAAGGAGGGGAGTCAGAAGACAAAGGGCTTCTCGCAGCACAGCACCTTTCTAAGCCACAATCATACCGTAAAGTGATTTGATACCACTTTAAATGGTTATAAAAAGGTAAAGGTAAAGGACCCCTGACAGTTAAGTCCAGTCGCAGATGACTCTGGGGTTGCGGCGCTCATCTCGCTTTACTGGCCAAGGGAGCTGACGTTTGTCCGCAGACAGTTTTTCCGGGTCATATGGCCAGCATAACTAAGCCAGAGCAGTGCACAGAGCAGTGCACAGAAACGCCGTTTACCTTCCCGCCAGAGTGGTACCTATTTATCTACTTGCACTTTGATGTGCTTTTGAACTGCTAGGTTGGCAGGAGCTGGGACCGACCAATGGGAGCTCACCCCGTCGTGGGGATTCGAACCACCAACCTTCTGATCGGCAAGCCCTAGGCTCAGTGGTTTAGACCACAACATCACCAGCATCCCCTTAAATTGTTATGGCTCTCTGCAAAGAATTATGGGAGGTGTAGTTTATTAAGGACGCTGGGAGTTGTCAGGAGGTTCCTATTCCCCTTCAAGAGCTTCAGTTCCCAGAGTTCCTTGGGAAGAGGGGCTGACTGTTAGGCCACTCTGACCAAATGAGCATCCCCTCTCCCCAGAGAACCCTGAGAATATAGTCCCGAGATGAGGAACACAGATCTCCATCACGGAGTTCAGAGCATCCTCAGAAACTACATATCCCAGGATTCTTTGGGGGAAGCACACTTTTGCTTCCATTCTAACCGAAAGCCAGCTCCCCACCACCTCTCTGCCTTGACTGTGACTGAGGTTTTCAACTATACTATCTATTTATAGTACTTGTCCCCAAGACGTATCCAAACACAGGCTTTTATATCTTAGGCGCCGCTGCTTTCTGCGCTGGTGCTTTTAGCCTGGTTCTCGTCTAGTGCTGTTTTAATTTGTTTGCAATTTCATGACCACTGTGTATTTTTCTTTTCTTTTTACATTTTATGGCTTTGCTTTGAAAACATTGTGCACCATCCAATGAACTTAGAGGTTAACAAATGGCAGAAGAATGCTGTAAACAAATAAATAGAGAATTTAAAAAAGCAATTCACAAATACTTTCAAGGAAAGCACAGACAGCAAAATACAGTTACTGATCCAAAGTATTTCCAATACAAAGCTATAATCATGGAGTGACCTGCCGTAGTCCAGACTGGATTTCAGTTGCGCCTGAAAACCTGAGACAAGATGCATCTTCTCCAGATAGGGTCACAACTGGTATGTTGGTTAAAAAAAACAAAAACATGTCCTGCCCATCACTGTTACCTGAGCTTCCCAGTTAATGCCAAGTCTAGAATTCTTCCCCCTCATTCTACATATGGTTCTTAGCTGTAGTTTTTCACTGGAGGTGAGTGGAATTAACTTGATAACTGCAGCACCCTTCATCATACTTAGGCTGTGAGAACATCATACAGCCCCCCTGCACCATAATTCTGGGAGCTGTAGTTTAAGGGTGCTGGGAATTGTAGATCTGAGAGGGATAAACTAGAGTTTCCAGCATTCTTTGGTGACTGAGAGTGTGTGCTTTTAATATACAGTGGTACCTCGGGTTAAGAACTTAATTCGTTCTAGAGGTCTGTTCTTAACCTGAAACTGTTCTTAACCTGAAGCACCACTTTAGTTAATGGGGCCTCCTGCTGCCGCCGGAGCACGATTTCTGTTCTCATCCTGAAGCAAAGTTCTTAACCCGAGGTAATATTTCTGGGTTAGCGGAGTCTGTAACCTGAAGCGTATGTATGTGTCTGTAACCCGAGGTACCACTGTACCACCTCTGAAACAGGAAGAGGCCCTATTCCAAGACAGACCTGTGGCCTGTCTAGCCCAGTTTGTAAACACTGACTGGCAGCAGCTCTCTGGGAGATCTCTCCCAGTCCTACCGACATTGAGGACATGAACCTGGGACCTTTTGCAGGAAAAGCATGTGCTCGACTACTGAGCTACGCATCTTTCCCCTTGAACGCTCCCCTATCCATACAAACAAAATTTATCCCTGCACATGCAAGAACAAGCAGGTCAGGATTCTGGGTCGAGACTCCTCCCCGATGGCCTGGTTGTTTACATGCAGGTCTATATGTCCCAAACTTGGTAGGGAGGAATATACCCTAACGCCAGCAGCTAAAACAACAGCCTGAAGTGGTCCAGGTTTTCCACCTCAGTGAGATCTAGGCCCTTGATCAAAGCATTGGCTGTTCCTCTATATTTAGAGCGAGAGATAAACCTGGCATTCAACACTGGGATGTCTTGCTGGTTGGCCAGGGGCATGAGATGGGGGCGCAAATGAAGGGGGGCAACCTTAACCCTCCCAAGCTTAACTCCCCCCCCATCTTTCTTTACTCCTGGCTTATTTTTATTTTCCAACCAAGAAAGGAGACGATCGTCGTGGAACTCCCAGCCACCCATAAAGCAAGAGAGCGATCAGAAATGAATGGAGGAATAAAAACATACACCATCACCATCCCTCCGCGCCTGATGGAACATTATATTACCTGGTCCCCGGGCTGCGAGGTGGATCGGCCCCTCCCTCTTTGCTCCTCCCTCCTTCCCTCCCCCGCGCTCCCCCCCACGCACGTGACTTCCGTCTCCACCCCCTCCCTCCGGAGCGTTCTCAATTGGACACAAAGTAACCCTCTCGCTTCCGGGGGGAGGGAGGAGAGAGACGGAGGAAGGCAGCCGGGCGTTCCTGCGATCGCCGCACAAAGGCAGGCGAAGAAGCCCCCCCGCCCCCAACTCCCTGGGCTTGCTTTCCGTGCCATCTCCTTAATTCGGATCGCCGCTCCCTTAATTCGGACCCAGGCCCTTAATTCGGATCGCCGCTCCATTATTCGGATCCTCGATTCGGATCAACTTGGAAGCGGGTTTTGTTTTTTGTTTTTTTTGGTGGGAGAGCAAGGAAAGGGGCTCCTTGGCTGCTCAGAAAGTTCACCCTCTCTGAAGCGGCTCCCGGTCTCCCCGTGTCTCCCTCCCCTTCACATGCCCCCCACGATCGCCCCCGGAGGCCTGCCCGGGGATGAGGCGGGAGTCTCCCGGGCTCCCCCTCGCGCCCCGGACCCCCGGGTGGGCTAGCCAAGCCAAGGAAGAGCCCGATCCGCCGCCCCCCGTTCTCTTTCCGGGTCGCCGCTTGACCCCCGCTTAGTCCTTCTCCATGGTGCAGATTCTGGCCCTGGTGTGGCGGAGGCTGCTTCGGAAGCGCTGGGTCCTGGGGGTCGTCTTCGGGCTGTCCCTCATCTATTTCCTCAGCAGCACCTTCAAGCAGGTCAGTCGAGACCCCCCACCCGCCCCAACACCTTTTTTCCTCTCTCTCTCTCTGGTTTCGTTTTCCGGCATCTGTTATTTGTATCGATCGCGTTTACGGTATATATCAAAGTGGCCGACGGGGTTCTCCCCTGCCCCCCAAATTATCTTTCACACAACTCTGTGAAGTAGGTTAGGCTGAGAGGCAGCAGTCCGCCCAAGTTGGTCCACATGTGAGCGCCATGGAGATTTGAACCCTGGTCTCCCAGGTCCTAGTCTAAAACTCTAACCACTGCGCCATCGCTGCCTCTCACCGTTGGAGGCAGAAGTGCTTCTGAATCCCAGTTCATAGAATCATAGAGTTGGAATAGACCACAAGGGCCATCGAGTCCAACCCCCTGCCAAGCAGGAAACACCATCAGAGCACTCCTGACATATGGTTGTCAAGCCTCTACTTAAAGACCTCCAAAGAAGGAGACTCCACCACACTCCTTGGCAGCAAATTCCACTGTCAAACAGCTCTTACTGTCAGGAAGTTCTTCCTAATGTTTGCTGGAAACCTTGTGTTTGTGTCCCGCTTGCTGGTTGTGTGGCCGCTGTGAGAACAGGATGATGGACTTGGAAGGCCCCTGGATCTAATACTATAAATGTTGTTGTTGTTGAGTCGTGTCCAACTCTTCGTGACCCCATGGACCAGAGCATGCCCAGGCACTCCTGTCTTCCACTGCCTCCCGCAGTTTGGTCAGACTCACGTTTGTAGCTTCGAGAACACTGTCCCACCATCTTGTCCTCTGTCATCCCCTTCTCCTTGTGCCCTCCATCTTTCCCAACATCAGGGTCTTTTCCAGGGAGTCTTCTCTTCTCATGAGGTGGCCAAAGTATTGGAGCCTCAGCTTCAGGATCTGTCCTTCCAGTGAGCACTCAGGGCTGATTTCCTTCAGAATGAAATAAAAAAAATTCCTTCCAGTAGCACCTTAGAGACCAACTAAGTTTGTTATTGGTATGAGCTTTTGTGTGCATGCACACTTCTTCAGATACGTGTGCATGCACATAAAAGCTCATACAGTGGTACCTCGCAAGACGAATGCCTCGCAAGACAAAAAACTCGCTAGACGAAAGGGTTTTTTGTTTTTTGAGCTGCTTCGCAAGACAATTTTCCCTATGGGCTTGCTTCGCAAGACGGAAACGTCTTGCAAGTTTGTTTCCTTTTTCTTAACACCGTTAATACAGTTGCGACTTGACTTCGAGCAACTCATAGAACGCGGTGTGGTAGGCTTTTTTGAGGTTTTTAAAGACTTTGGTGATTTTTGAAGCTTTTCCAAAACTTTCCCGACACCATGCTTCGCAAGACGAAAAAAATCGCAAGACGACAAAACTTGCGGAACGAATTAATTCCGTCTTGTGAGGCACCACTGTATCTCTATCTTTTTCTACTTTGTAACACTTCATATATTTCTCCTTATAAAACCTCTTGTAGTCCTACTAGCGTAATTTGTTGATTACAGTTGCTCTTCAAATAATTCATATACTTCTTCCAATCTTCTGTAAATCTCTGGTCCCGCAGGTTTCAAATCCTTCCTGTCATTTTGTCCAATTCTGCATAGTCCATTAATTTCGTCTGCCATTCTTCTTTCGTCGGAATTTCTTCTTGTTTCCATTTCTCGGCTAACAATACTCTTGCCACACTTTATGGTCCAGCTCTCACTTCCATACATCACTACTGGGAAAACCATAGCTTTAAACATTATGTTTTATAAACATTAGCATTTGTATAAAGCACAGCACAGCCAATGGTCCGGGAAGGTGAGAGCCGCAGTCCGTCACATATAGAGGGCACCCCCTTGGCTATCCCTGCAATAGAGCTCTCAGGGGTTCAGTGTGCTCTCAGTGTGCTTTTCACGTTCCACCTTTGTTGAACTCTTTACACAATCACCCTGAAAGGTCGGTCAACGTGGTCACCATCTTGTGGATGTGAGTGGAAGGGCCTGAGGGCCTTGCTTAAGGCAATAGAGTGAACCCATAGCAGGGGCGAGATTCAAAGGGAAATTTGGCATTACGGATGACCAGCCTCTTGGGTGCTGGTCTGCCTCAGTTCCATACCTCAAGCCCATTGTTTAGCTCAGTAATATAGTTTGAAACTAAGGAGCTACAAAGTCAATCATCCCAACTTTTTGCAGGGGCTGCTTCATGATACATTTCACAGAGTGGTTTATCCATTACTCCCTCTTCATAGGAAACTGCGAATTGTAGGTCTTTGAGGGGAACATGGAGGATATCTCCTAATTACTCTCAGCACCTTTAACAAGCTGCAGCTCCCAGGGTTCTTTCGGGGAAGCCATGACTGTTTGCTTTAAATTTATGGTTGTGGTGTAAATTTGTTTACGTATGCCACAACGGCAGCAAGGATACTTTTGTCCCAGAAATGGAAACAGCAGGAACTTCCAACATTGGAAGAATGGCAGACCAAGATGATAGAATATGTAGAATTGGCAAAGTGGACGGCGAAGATCCAAAATCAACGCGACGAACTGTTTCAAAAGGACTGGAGCAAATTTATATTATATATGAAAGAACATTGTAAACATTTGAAAACGTTTGTAGGTTTGAGTTGAAATATTTTGTAATGCGAACATAGGGAACTGATTTACATTTAATGAGGTGAAGTTTATCAAGAAGAAAAGAAGGTAAATAAGTGGATATAGAAATGCTAAGATATAAGTGACTATTTATGAAAGCCAGAATGTGGGATGGGGGGAGGTCAATGCTCAGTGTGAGCAATGCTTTTGGTTATGGAATTACGTAATGGAATGTGAATTTGGTAAAATGTAAATTCAATAAAAATAAATAAATTTATGTTGTGATGGTGGCCATAGCTCAGACGGGGGGTTGTTGTGTTTTTTTTTAAAGGGGCTAGATTCAAATCAAAATATAGGAGCAGTCTGGCTGAAAGGGCAGCTTGCAAAATGGTCTCTGTGTGCTCTTTAAATTCACAGATGTAGCAGCTTGTGAGACCCATTTTTGAAATGAGGCACAGGCAACCCACCCAGAAAAATACAATGCACAAAATGACCTTTTGAAATCTTCCCCCCTGTTGCAGCTTCAGGCAGCATCGGCAGGACAGGACTGTAGCTTGCTTCCCATGCTCCTCTGTTTTCCGTTTCAGGAAGAGCGAGCCGTACGAGATCGGAATCTCCTCCAGGTGCAGGACGAGGATCACCCGATCGCGTGGAAAGTGCAGTTCAACTCCGGGAATGGCAGCCAGCCCAGTAACCAGTGCCGGAACTCTGTCCAGGGGAAGCTGCTGATCACAGATGAACTGGGTGAGGCTCCCTCTTCCAAGGGTGGTGTGGTGTAGCGGTTAGTGTTGGCGTAGGACTGGTGAAACATGAGAGGTGTGTTCCATCTCCCCCGATGGAGGCTGCATGCCTCTGGGTACCAGTTCCTGGGAGTCGGGAGTCGCAAGCGGAGAGAGATTCTCGTTCCATCTGGTTGGCCACTGTGCGAAAAGAATGCTGTCATTTTCTCCTTGTGCCTGAGCTTTTACATAACATAATAAACCACTTCCAGTAATACAGGGGATAGGGCTGGGTGAGATATCAATAAACCAGTTTTAAATCCATATATGATACTGGATACATAAATTTTGACCTGGTAAAGGTAAAGGGATCCCTGACCATTAGGTCCAGTCGTGACCAACTCTGGGGTTGCGGCGCTCATCTCGCTTTATTGGCCAAGGGAGCCGGCGTACAGCTTCCAGGTCATGTGGCCAGCATGACTAAGCCGCTTCTGGCGAACCAGAGCAGCGCACGGAAATGCAGTTTACCTTCCCGCCGGAGTGGTACCTATTTATCTACTTGCATTTTGACGTGCTTTAGAACTGCTAGGTTGGCAGGAGTAGGGACTGAACAACGGGAGCTCACCCTGTCGTGGGGATTTGAACCGCCGACCTTCTGATCGGCAAGTCCCAGGCTCTGTGGTTTAACCCACAGCACTACCCGCGTCCCTGGTAATATACCCGCGTGACCTGGTAATATATCACAAATCATGATGCATGTTAGGGATGGGCGATATATCATCCAAAACCAGTTTCAAGTCCATATAATGATACTGTTTTCATAATTTTTGACCTGGCAATATATTGCAAATCACGATATGTGAGTGTGTGCTGTGCAAAATATCACCATGTGGGGAAAACCATGAAGCCAGCCAATTGCTTCTCCCTAGCTCCATCCTTCTTTCAAACATTGTGATAGATCAGTATGTCACGATGTTTAGCTTTAACAAAGTTGAAAACCAGATGTCTCCTGGCCCTAATAGTGGAATGTAGCACAACTTTAGCTCTTCATTTCCATGTTATTTGCAACCGGGTTTTTCCTGGAAGCAGATTTCAAGGAAACGAGTGCTAAACTTGCACAGCATTTCCCTGGAAGTGGCATTTAAGTTGTGTGGAAGCTCAAGTGCTCAGTAGGAATTGGCAGGGGAAAACGCAATATACTGCTGTGTAAATGCAGCCATAAGCACCACGCCACTGTAGCACAGTGGAAGAACATTGGATTTGCATGCAAAAGGTTCCTGGTTCAATCCCTGGTAGGGCTAGGGGAAGCTCCCTGCTGAATCCTTGGGGAGTTGCTGCCAGTCAGTGTAGACAGTTCTGAGCTAGAGGGGCCAATGACAGCACTCTATGCCCAAGGCAGCACTCTATGTTCTATGGCTTTCCCTAATATAGTACAGTGGTACCTTGATTCTCAAACACCTTGGTTCTCAAACGCCGAAAACCTGGAATTAAGTGTTCCGCTTTTTGAACGTTTTTCAGAAGCCGAACAACCGATGCAGCTGTCAGCTATTATTTCTGGGGCACCTGCCCCTATCAGAAGCTGCACTTTGGTTTTCGAACATTTCGGAAATCAAACGGACTTCCGGAACGGATTAAGTTTGGCGCTTTTGTTTTTGCTATTTATTTTGCGGTTTTGTCTTTGAGGCTTTTTCGGTTAATTTGTTTTTGTGACTGTGTGGAACCCAGTTCAGCTACTGATTGATAGTGTGACTGTGGAAATGGATAAAAGCCCCCCATCCAAACAATGACTATCATCAGTGCAGGTAAGGGGGAAAAAATGAATTTTAATTTTTATCATCTACAATACTGTCTTATTTATCTTATAGTACAGTACATTAACTATTGCTTTCATTTTGTGGATCAATAGTCTTGTTAGGTAGTAAAATTCATGTTAAATTGCTGTTTTAGGGGTTTTTTTAAAGTCTGGAATGGATTAATCTGTTTTGCGTTACTTTCTTTGGGAAAGTGTGCCTTGGTTTTGGAGCGCTTCAGTTTTGCAACAGACTTGCGAAATGGATTAAGTTTGAGAACCAAGGTACCACTGTAGATATTTGTTGTCTCTTCACTCTGATTTCAAACAGTCTAGAATGTCAAGTGCTGTCTCCGTCCTCAATATCTCTTCTGGTGTTTTTTTTTTTTGGGGGGGGGGTTAGGTTATATCTGCGAAAGGAAGGACTTGCTGATGAACGGCTGCTGCGACGTCAAAGCCCCCAGTGCAAAGCTCTACAGCTGCGAGAGCTGCTTGCCCAACGGATGCTGCAGCATCTACGAAGCCTGCGTTTCCTGCTGCTTGCAGCCCAACAAGGTACGGTGGGTTTTGGTATGAACCCTGGGCACCTGCAGCAAAATGTTGCAGCGCAGCATTGCCACCTCCTCCACCACAGGAGTGCTTCCCTTCAGGTTGCCAGCCAACCATGCCCTCTGATGGAATACACTTGCAGGGCTCAAGCAGGTCATTCGATTTCCTTTGCCATCTGCTGTTTTTTCAACACACATACACCTCTATGTACATACCGTATTTTTTGCTCCATAAGACACACTTTTTTCCTCCTAAAAAGTAAGGAGCTTCCTGCAGCCAATTGGAAGCCGCATCAGAGGTTGGGGTTCCAAAGAACGTTCGCTCCTTCTCCTCCACTGTGCCATTGCTGCCTTCATAACTCTTCTGTTGTCACCTAACTTCCATCTTTCTTTCTTTTTTTAACCCCCAGCAACGGCTCCTGGAGCACTTTCTAAACCGAGCTGCGGTCGCCTTCCGGAACCTCTTCATGGCTGTGGAAGATCACTTTGAGTTGTGCTTGGCCAAGTGCAGGACCTCCTCGCAGGTACGGGGAGAGGTCTGCGGGACTGACTGAGCAGCAGGTCATGATCTCCTCTGCTCCCATCCTGCTCCTGGTGGGTTAAGTTCAACAGATGAGCAAGACAACCCACCTGCCAGGCGGGCAGAGGGGATCAATAGCAACCATTTTGGGAAACCCTGTTTTAAACTGGGGTGCCTGGGATTTCAATTATTATTATTATTATTATTATTATTATTATTATTATTATTATTATTAATTTATTTATATCCCACCCATCTGGCTAGGTTTTCCCAGTCACTCTGGGTGGTTTACAGCATATATGAAAACATCAAACATTAAAAAGCAGAATATCTTATACAGACTATAAATAAACCAATAAATCAATAGAAATAATAATAGCTATAACAATCCATTTACAGTTATACCCAAATTAAAATAACTGCCGACCCTAGCTAAACATTTAACCAAGCCCAACCAACCCAACAAAAACAAAAAAGAGGAATCAAAATAAATTAAAACCTTTAAAAACATTTTAGCCACTTGCCCCAACCCAAGAGTTGTTCTAGCAATGTTCCTCCGGTCTCCCAGGAGCCTCTTTAAGCTGTTCCAGGTGAGTCTGGGCCCCGCCCCTAGGCCAGGTGGAAATGGGCTTTGCAGCAGGGAGCAGGTCTTCCTTCCAGCACTGATGGCAGCAGCAGTTTCATGCATGAAAAGCATACAATCGTAGAATTGGAAGGGACCCCAGCGGTCATCTAGTCCAACCCCCTGCAATGCAGGAATCTCGGCCACAGCATCCACGACAGATGTGCGCTCCGTCATTCAACTGGTGGCCGCACTCTGTTGCTGCCTGCCAAATCTGCGTCCCTGCATGTGCTCTGTCTTCTTCCCCCACCCTAACAAATATATATCTCCCCCCCCCTTCTCCCCTTGCCCAGAGCGTGCAGCATGAGAACACCTACCGCAACCCCATTGCGAAATACTGCTACGGGGAGTACCCTCCGGACCTCCTGCCAGTGTGATAGCGGCAAGGGGACTGTGGCAGCAAGGAGAGAGAGACCGGAGCGTTCGCCATTGTGGAACGGGGACATTTGTGAGGACGCTCGGACACCTGCCTTTGTGCTTCGGCACCCGACTTAGCCTTTCAGGAAAGAGCCTCTTTCATCCGCCTGTCGCTGCCTCCCTGCAGTTCGAAAATGGGATGAGGGCAGCGAGAGATCCTCCGTCGGCTGTCGCCAAAGGACTGTGTTCAGATGCGGCATCGTGGCTACAGTCAGTCCTGCCTCCATTTTGAGATACGAACATAATAGAAGTTGTGTGTCTCTCCCCATAGCCTGTGGGCCTTCTCTCTCTCTCTCTCTCTCTCTGGCCTGGCCAACAAACACAGTGAATGACAAAAGGCAAAAGGTCCCTTTAGATGAGAGAGCAATGCTTGGTTCCTTGCAGGCGAGAGACGTCCTCAAACCATTCTGTGTAAATACAAATTATTTATTGGGATGACACTACGGCTCAAAACATGTTGCAGGGTGTTCTAGAAGCTGGTTACAGGATCTTGTTGGTGGCTTTGGTCCAAGATGGGACAGGGAAAGCACTTCGCTTTAGATTTTTCTCCAGGCTTTGTCATTAATCTCGTTCCTCATGATCTGATCTTTGAATTGATTTGGCTGTTGCTTGCCAGCAGGGGGTGGTAGCAAATAGCACCGTTTCCTGGCTTTGGAGCTAAATAGAGCTGAGGTTTCTCTGCATATCCGGGGTGGAAATCCCTGGCCTGCGGACCTATCTGGACCTACCAGGCTTCCCCATCGGGACCAGGGAGCTGTTTTACCCTAGCACCACCCACCTGGTGTCGCCTAAAGAGGCGGCTGTCACAAAAAAATGAGATTTACAGGCACCGCTGGTCAGTTGATCAGAGCTGTTCCCACAGGGCTTCACAAGCACCGGTGATCAGCCTCGCTCTCCACATCGCTGTGATGTTTGGTGATCGTCATGTGGGCAGCCCCCACCCACCTGTCAAATTCAGCCAGCAGGGATTAGTGGGTTGTGGTACTGTGATTAGATGACTGTTGATTGGGGGAAAGTAAAGAAGAAGAAAAAAACCCTATAAATGTAGTACATAGGGCACAGATGCTTGCAATTCTAGATCTCTGCTACTGCCGTGCCAACCCAATGAGCGAAGCAGTGAATGACCCAAGTAGTGGGGTAGGAGAGGTGAAAATAATGCCAAGGTATTTGACATCTGGCAACCAATGCGCCCCTTTGGTTTCAAGTAGTACATGGGTAGGCGAGTCTTTAAAATTCTCACAGCCTTCTAGCAGCTATGGGGACTCATTTGCCAGAAGTCATGTATTTAGCACAGGGCATAGGCAAACTCGGCCCTCCAGATGTTTTGAGACTACAGTTCCCATCATCCCTGACCACTGGTCCTGCTAGCTAGGGGTGATGGGAGTTGTAGTCCTAAAACATCTGGAGGGCCGAGTTTGCCTATGCCTGATTTGGCATGAACTCTGGAAGTATCCACTCAATTCTGACCAGGTCTGTCTCCTGGTATGTGTTGTGCTCTAGGAAGCTTAGTTTGGTCAGAATCGAGAAAACACTTAAATACATTACTTCTGGTAAATGAGTCACCATATCTGGGCTTTTAAGACGTGTACTACCCATGTACAGTGGTACCTCTGGTTGTGAACAGGATCCGTTTCGGAGCCTCATTCGCAACATGAGCAGAATGCAACCTGCGTGTGCGCGGGTTGCGATTCGCCGCTTCTGCGCATGCGTGTGATGTCATTTTGAGCATCAGCGCATGTGCGAGCGGCGAAACCCGGAAGTAACCCTTTCTTGTATTTCCGGGTTGCCACGGGACGCAACCTGAAAAGATTTAACCTGAAGCAAACGTAACGAGGTATGACTGTACTATCTGAAACCAAAGGGGTGCAGTGGTTGCCAGATGTGGTTTTTTCCTGCTCTCCTACCCCACTAAAGATGCTTTTCTGCTCCATGTGTCATCTGGAGATGGGGAGGCAATCCATGTGTTGTGATGCAGCTGTTTTCCTCTCCTGTGACGTCATCAGGTAACCTTGGAATGAGCCACCTGGGTGTAGAGCAGGCGAGGGGAATCTCTGACCCTCCAGATGTTACTGAACTACAACTCCCATCATCTCTGAACATGGACCATGCTTGCTGGGCCTGATGGGAACTGTGATTCAGCGGCATCTCGAGGCCCGGAGGGTTCCCCACAGGTGGTGCAGCATTCTGCCCAAGGGTCCTAAACTCAGCTGATGAGTTCTCTCTGACCACAGAAAGCTTTAATCTTCTACTGATCATGGAATACTCTTTGTCACCTCTGATTTTCCCACTTCCAGTGTGAAACAAATGTCTAAATACACTCCATCACAAACTAAACTTATTCTCCTCCTGTTTATTGAATGGTGAAATATTCCTCACACACATGGCTGCTGGCGGGAGACCCCAGTGGTGGACTTTCTGAATAAGGAGTCATTCCTTGTTTGCCCTAGGAAGGCAGCAGTAGCCAACATGGTGCCCTCCAGATATTCTGGATGCTAGATACCATCAGCACAAGCCAGTAAGTCTGGGATCTTAAACCTGGAGCCTTCCCAATGTTGTTTGGACTACAGCTCCCATCATCCTTGACCACGGATAGTGATGGTTGGGGCTGATGGCAGCACGAGTTCAGTAAATGGCTAGAGCAGTGTGTTCTTCAACTTTAGGTCCCCAGATGTAGGTGGACTACAATACCCATCATCCACAGCCAGCTTAGCCTAACAATCAAGGATGCTATGCGTTGTAGTCCACACACATTTGGGGACCTAAGGTTAAAAGGACAGCGTTCTCGAGCAGGGTTTCCCAAACTTGGGTCTCCAGCTGTTTTTGGACTACAATTCTCATTATCCCTGACACTTGGTCCTGCTAGCTAGAGATGATGGGAGTTGTAGTCTGACAACAGTTGGAGACCCAAGTTTGGGGAACGCTGTTCTAGAGGGTCACAGATTTCCAGGCATGCAAAGTGTTTCAATTGCAAGGGCTACACAACTGAGAGTGCTGCTTCAGTGCTAAGCATTTAGGAACCCTGAAAAGATATTGGGCTTCTGTTTCAAGAGAATGATGTGCAAGTTCTGTTAACGTACAATGGAATGTCAAGCCACTCTGAAAGAAGTTGCTGGATTGGTCCAGGTCCGTGCGCAGAAAATAGATATAGCTGAAAGGCAACACAGGACAATCTGCATTCATAGCAATGCATCCCTAACTATACAACCTTCTAATATTGCAGGATTATTGCAAAATTTTAGGAGGTTGTATAATCTTAGAACAGTGTGTGGCTGTGGCTATCGCAAAGGGATCCTGCACTTCTGAAACTGCCACAACACTAAAGTAAAAGGTCAAGGACCCCTGGACGGTTAAGTCCTGTCAAAGGCAACTATGGGGTTGTGGCACTCATCTCATTTTCAGGCCGAGGGAGCCGGCGTTTCTCCACAGACAGCTTTCCGGGTCATGTGGTTAGCATGACTAAACCACTACTGGCACATGGAAGACAGTGATGAGTGCCAGAGTGCACAGAAACACCGTTTATCTTCCTGCCGCAGCTGTACTTATTTATCTATTTGCACATGTGTGCTTTTGAACTGCTAGGTTGGCAGGAGCTGGGACAGAGCAAGAGGAGCTCACCTCATCATGGGGATTCGAACCACCAACCTTCCAATCAGCAAGCCCAAGAGGCTCAGTGGTTTAGACCACAGCGCCACCCGCGTCCTTTGCCACAACACTACTGAGAGTGAGTCCCACCAGTGTAATTTACCCTGGCGTAAATTATTCCAGCTTTTTGTAGTATGAATGGCTCTATTAGTTGCAGGGGGGAAAGTGAATAAAAAGTAGAAAGGTAAAGGACCCTGGACGGTTAAGTCCAGTCATAGGCACTCATTTCGCTTTCAGGCCAAGGGAGCCGGCGTTTGTCCACAGACAGTTTCCCGGGTCATGTGGCCAGCATGGCTAAACCGCTTCTGGTGCAACGGAACACCGTGACGGAAACCAGAGCGCACAGAAATGCTGTTTCTTCCCGCCGCAGTGGTACCTATTTATCTACTTGCACCGGTATGCTTTCAAACTGCTAGGTTGGCAGGAGCTGGAACAGAGCAATTGGGGCTCACCCCGTCACGGGGATTCAAACCGCCGACCTTCTGATCGGCAAGCCCAAGAGGCTCAGTGGTTTAGACCACAGCACCAATTACCATACTTCCCTTTGGTGAATAGCAATGATGTGGCAGAGGTGAATGGCAGAGGTATCTTAAAGCCTTCTCTCATAATACTAGAAAACTCTGAGCTGTCCCAGGAAGCTGAATTGCTGGAAGCTACTGCAAGGTGCTTCTATGACTGCAGAAGAAATGAAGATCTTTCGCTCTCAAAGAAAGGACGGAAAGATGCTCCGGGAAGTTGCTACGCTGCCCTGTTTTCTTGCCCTCTGACCCACCAAGGTGAGAGTCGTCTGGCAGCCACTTAATCAAATGGAGATGTTGATTTTAATGTTAACCCAGCTGGGACGACATCTTCGGCAGGCCGTCATCGTGCCAGATAACAAATGGCTTTCCAGAATCCCATTATTCTCCCACTGGCAGGATCTGCTCCAGGAAAGGGAGATGGGAATGGATGTGTCATTTTGGGACAAAAGGGGATGTCAATCCCGGTTATCGCTGCTCTGGAGAACTGAGCAGCTGTGAGTTTATTATGCAAAAACTCCAAATGTGGTATCGGATGGATTTCTGGTCACACAGATTTCCCCACCTTAGTTTGTTTATTTATAATATTTATATACTGCTCTTCAACAATAAAGGTTATGTCCCATATTAGACCTATTCAGAGTAGACTCATTGATTATATTTTATTTTATTTATTTTAGATGAGTCTCTCTCTCTCTCTCTCCCGGCACACCTTCCCTATTAAAGTGTGGTGCTCCCCACTTTACACGATTTTACTGTATTTTTTGTTCTATAAGACGCACCAGACCACAAGACGCACCTAGTTTTTGGAGGAGGAAAACAAGGAAAAAAATATTCTGAATCCCAGAAGCCAGAACAGCAAGAGGGATCGCTGCACAATGAAAGCAGCGATCCCTCTTGCTGTTCTGGCTTCTGGGATAGCTGCGCAGCCTGCATGCGCTGCATAAGACACACACACATTTCCCCTTACTTTTTAGGAGGGAAAAAGTGAGTCTTATAGAGCAAAAAATACGGTACAGTGGTGCCTCGCAAGACGAAAATAATCCGTTCCACGAGTCTCTTCGTCTAGCGTTTTTTTCGTCTTGCGAAGCAACCCTATTAGCAGCTTACCGGATTAGCGCTATTAGCGGTTTAGCAGCTTAGCGGCTATTAAAGGCTTAGCGGCTAAAAGGCTATTAGTGTCTTAGCGGCTTAGAAAAAGTGGGGGGAAAGCGAAAAAAAATCGCAATACTCGCAGGACGTTTTCGTCTTGTGAAGCAAGCCCATAGGGAAAATCGTCTTGCGAAGCAACTCAAAAACGGAAAACCCTTTCATCTAGCAGGTTTTTCGTCTTGCGAGGCATTCGTCTTGCGGGGCACCACTGTACTTTATACACACTGGGGCCTGGAACATAACCCCCACATAAGTGGCAGGACACCTGTATCCCAAATGCTGCTTCCTTATGCTCTCCCTCCACAGATGGAAGCAGCAGTGCTTATGAACACTATAGGAGAGAGTTACTCTTGTACTCCAGTCCTGCTTGCAGGCTTTCTGTTGGGGCTTCTGGCGGGCTACTGTGAGAGCAGGACTGACCCAGCAGTTTCTCCTTATGTTCTTATGTAACCTTTCCTCATAGGGGAGTCGCAACTGGGATCTCAGCTGAGACATCGGGGATTATCCCATTACCGGCTCTGGCAGTTAACAATGAAAACAACTGTGCATCCTTTTTTGTGTGTGTGCAATTTATGCCAGGGATGTGAAATGAGAAGGTAAGCCACGAGAGCTACCAGGCAGACTGTAAAACATTTATAGGGAAGCCTCTGCGGTGCCCTGTTTTACCAAGTGAAAACGCAATGGAAATTAAATGTGAGTTGGGGATGT